AGTACTATGCCATGGCCCTATATGGCAAGTGTAAGTGGGTACCATTACTAAAGAAGGAGTTCCGCTGCATGCTACTACGTTGCCTCAGGAAGATAGTACTATGCCATGGTAATCTGCTACTTTACGGAAAACGTAACGAACGTTGCTTTAAGCTATTACTCCGCTACTCAAAACAAACTTAAAAATGCAGGAAATCGCTCTTACAAAAGACAGTCAGGTTAGGCGCGATCGAATGGCTAGACGCAGCACTGTCAAATTTTCATTACCTGCTCCTCGGTGATCTTTGCATGCTACCTGAGGTGAGGATAAGTTGAGAATATCGGATAAACTTGAAAGGTTAGTTATTGTTAGGTCTGATGTTGAAACAACTTATCAATGTCATGCTTGTCAGCCCGTGAATATCGCGCCTATCAAAGATATATACCAGACATGTTTTATGTTAAGTTTTTGTAATGGAGGTCTGCTGACATGAAATAGGATCACTTAGAGCCATTTCCGGGTGTTTTTAGTGAAAATAAGGCATCTTACGGAACTTTTCAAGGTTGAACGGCGCAGACATGTTCAAGGAGGGTGCTTTTTGCCCTTACGCCATTGTCATGCAAACAGGCTATCGCCATGTTCTACAAAACGACCGGTTTGCAGTGACGTTAAATAACAGAACAAGCATACAAATGCAAAAACGTGGTATTTTGACCGTTGTGTCGACGTGCTTTGAACAGTACATCTTTTGTTAACCCTTATAGATATATGTCTAAACCTTGGAAAATCCTCTTAATTTCCATTGCGATGCATACTAAGCAGGTTCCTTTCTATTATTACGAAACAGGTCATCACAGATTTCAGGTTTGAGGGATTTCTCTAGGTCTGGCAGTAACTGACAACAACAGGACATCATAAATAAGTCTTCTTGTTCGTGTCTCATGCAAGACATTTATTTTTGGTGGGTGCTATACATGCAATAACTGGACATCAGCCACGCGCCGTTTTTGTCTTTGGTGTTTTAATCTTCTAAGGCATGCAGGCCGTAAATATCTCAATGTTCACGTGTTTTTTCCTATGCTTGACAATGACGTTTATCGTGTATGCCATAATCAGTCATGCCTGATTGTTTTCAGCAGTTTAACGCGCAGCAAATATCCCCAAAATAGCCAGCTTTCCCTTCTTTGACGTCATTATTCCACTATACGAGTGAGCAAACGCACCCTCCTCTATTGCAATTTATACGGTTTAAAACTGCGACATATGACATAACAAAGTAAGGCAGTAACGAACTGAACTGTAACGGAGAGACGGAATTTCTTTCGTCTATTGCCGATTTCTAAACTGGAGTCCGTTACTCTGTTTCCTGTGATCCACCACCTCTGATCCATCTGTCATCGCGGGGCGTTGTGTGCAGCGCTCGACTCGGCACGGTGTTTGACGCCCGCAAGGTTCGAGTTCTTCCGCGGTGTTTGACGCCCGCAAGGTTCGAGTTCTTCCGCGGTGTCTGACGCCCGCAAGGTTCGAGTTCTTCCGCGGTGTTCGACGCCCGCAAGGTTCGAGTTCTTCCGCGGTGTCTGACGCCCGCAAGGTTCGAGTTCTTCCGCGGTGTTCGACGCCCGCAACATATGAGTTCCTGGTTCGCGGCGTGGCGGTCTGAACGCAATATCCTGCCGAAATGGTGATCCCGGAGATGCGGCTAATGACCGTGGCGACGGGCGGTGGGAGCGACATCCAGCGCACGGCAGCTGTCGGACGCGCACGAAGACCCAGACCGCGGCCGCCCGCCGCTGTTGCCACCTCACCGCACCGGTGGTGGCCGCGCCAGCCACCCGCAGCGGGTACGTGTACTGAGGCAGATCTGGCTGACGCTTCCGAAGTCCAGACAGATAGCAGGTCCATAGCTATGGACGAACATCAGCTATGTTGCTTACTTAATTTGCTCTGTGTTCACTGATCCGAGTCGAATGTTTTCTGTGCAAAGAAACGCATGTATCCTCCAATGCAATCAATAAGTGTTGTTGTTAATTAATTAATAAGTTAAGTAATAAGTGTAATATGTGTTGTTCTAATTCGAAAACTAATCGTAGAGCGATTTAAACTATACTTGAAGTAAAGATATGCGACAGCTCACGCCGGATCAAATACTTAACGTAGTTTTAACGTCCATGGAAATGCACGAGCCATCCTGCCACCAGCCCGGAAGCCTCAGTCGCGCTATGTCTTCCGGAGTGCCGTGCTCCGACGCCGCCAGATCGAACCGAGTGCCGACCTCGTGAGAGGTTGCCGCGATCCACTGCATCAAGATCAGAGGCTCCCGCAAAGTCAGCCGCTAGATGACGAGTTTTGGTGCGAAAGATTGCGCCGTGTCAAGCAGCTGCTGCACGTCATTTAGTCATGAACAAGCGGGTTCGGCGTATGACAGTCCGTCATCATGTCAGGCAGCTGTTGCACGTCATTTAGTCATGAACAGACGGGTTCGGCGTATGACAGCCCGTGAACAATATTTATGACAGTACAGCGTTGCGTCTGAGTAAGACTCAAGGCGACGGTTCAACACACCACCCATAGGTGACGGAATGCAGTCCAGTACGCACGAGTAAATTCAGGAGACCAGCTCATCACTCACGTGTAAATGACGGGGTTCATGCAGGAGTGCACAAAAGGCAGAAGGTAGAATGCGACCTTGAGCGAGTAGGTGCTGTTGGAGTAGAATGGTAGGCCGAGCACCATCATCAGGCGCATGATGAGGCGCGGGCCCCAGCAGAGCATGAATAACGCGATGATCAAGATCAGCATCTTGATCACCTGCCGGGAAAGTCCAAATTCAGGTCCAGCGCAGAAAAAAGTTGGTGACTCGAATTCGGCCATCCTTTAAAACGGTCATGCAAGGCGCACCAACTTCAACGATACACTAGCTTGTCCTTATGACTTACTTCTATTGCTACACTTACTGCCAATACCATTGCGATGAACGTACAATAGTTTCCGACACCAAAACATTCCGTGCTGAAGGCACTGATGCTCATGCTCCATCGGCCAGATTTGCAGCCATATTTGTACAAAAAATAGTGGTAATGATCATAGCACGGCCTGATTACGCATTCCAAAGCCGCCACCAGCAGGGATGGACCGCGTACCTGCTTGCGGGCGTTCTTGATGGTCTCGGGCGTGCGATGGTGCTGGAACAGGCAGCTGTGCACGGTGGTGGTGTCCGGACTGGCCGGCGTCAGGCTGTGCACGCCCGTGGCCAGCTGGAACGACGGCAGGCTCGGCGGCTCATGGCTGGCTGCCCGGCTCAGCCTGCTGGGCACCGCAACGTGTCATGTCAAACCGGGACACGTGCCAGGTTAGGCCACATCAGGTCAAGCCAGACCGGCAGCTTGTCAGGTCAGGTCAGATCAGGTGACGTGTCAAGTCGTTACATTATTGCGGGAGACGTATCAGGTCGTGCGTAGTTTTCGTTTTAGGTCAAGCTATGTTTCAGCCGGGGCCAAGGCCAGGTCAGGTCGAGCCCAGGTCACAACAGACCGCACGACGTCAGGTCAAGCTGGGACGCGTGACACGGTCGGCCAGGGGCGTGCTACACGAATCTGAGGGCCTTGCCAGATCAGGCAAGGTATGACAGGGCAGAACATACTGGCAGGTCAGATCGGATACACATGGTACATGAGTGAACCTTTTTTAGATCCAAGTAGGGAATAAGCTCTCATAGACAAACAATAGTAATATCTTTATTTGTCGTAGAAAAATCAGGAAAATGGAGATCTAGATGCCTAGAAATTTTGGCAACATGTCTTTATCGAAACGAGTACAAGTAATGTTATGTATACATATATATATATATATATATATATATATATATATATATATATATATATATATATATATATATATATAATTATGGGTGTATATTCATATATATGTTTTTATGTATATTTATGTATACGTATATAAATGTATATCTATATATGTATATAACTTACTTATATCCATGGTATTCCTTGCAGATGCACTTAACAACTTACGTATGGGATAAACTCTACGTAGTTCAGTTAGGTAGCTTAAATAAACCTTTCGAATGGCGCGCGCCTTGATATTCAATGTCATTTAATTAATCGAAACATTAGCTTTTTATGCAGTTTCGCCAAGGCCGTTCAGTGCCAAATTCACTTTCGTGCTAACTACAGAGTTATTTTTTTATATAGCTGGTATGGTACTAACTCGGCTAGCAAACGAGAGAAATATGCTTGTCGACTGAGGTTTAAATAGACTCCGGTATCGGCATCTAACCCAGCCCATGATTCACCTGTTTTAGATACACAAGGTAGCTATTATTAAAGATTTTCCGGGGCACCTTCTTGACCACGTCAAAAATTGAAAAAGGGAGCACCTGGAGTTTTGGAGGCGTTTCACTTTATCACACCTATCAGCTGACGGCAAAGTCCGCAAGGGTTGGGACTTGTCACTTCCGTTGAACTCCCGGGTCAAAGGTCATGCGCCAACACATTTAGTCTTATTTTCTTGCATTACCTATAGACAATTCTCATGACATTGATGGTGCTGTTGATGAGCGTGCTGCTTCGTAATTCCCTCAACAAAGATGTAAGACAAGTTTAGTGATGTGTGTTCAATGTTTAACCTAATGCTTGCAGCGTTCAATCTAATGCCACATTGGCTCAGCTTAGCTAAGTTAATCATTAGCTCACAATACACCCAGGCAACGTTCCTTGGCCTCTATCGAAAGTTTATGTCAGGATCACGCAAAACGACGTAGGCACCAAGGAGACAGATACAACTATGTGCTTTACAACACGCACGCTTTTTTCAAAATACTTCGTTTAACGACGATGTCATTCAGGATCTGAAATCACAAATGAATGCGAGAGCTTTAAGTGACCATTTTGCCTTCAGTGGAGCAGCTGGTCACCACTGGCTTCCGCATCGTATGATAACGGTCCTCCAGTAGAACGTCGCCCTCATCGGGGCCTCGGACCTGATGATCGCATCACACCATCCATCCTCGGGCCTGCTCCAGCGGTACCGGAAGATGGCCCGCTGGGCAGTGCGCGCATCACCGCTCAGCTCGCGCCGGAAGTGTAAAAGGACGACAGCACACGCTCAGTGACGTCCAACCCTCCGCGCTCGGCGGCCGCCGACGCTGTTTGCGGCCCGGCGCGTGCGACAGCGGGCCCTCATCAGCGACCGGCCGTGCTGTGTGCGGCCTAATGGTCGCCTATTTGGGGAGCGGCGTGGTTTTCCGCCTCGCTGGCACGATGGGGCTGCTCACTGTTGTCCTGATGCGACAGTGGAACGCCATGTCGGAGACGACAGTCGCAATGTCAAGCCGGCGGGCTATAGTACTCTGTCCGCCGACAGCAGTGCCGAGTTGCTGGACCGTAATTGGTTGTCTGTGCTGCATTGTCTATCGGCGCACTGCCCTGTCTGATATCATTGAGTTACGTGTCTTGTGGATACGCACCAAGTCCTCCGATGGACTGCAGCTTTTGTGTTTTAAAGCGACACATGTGGTGACCTGCAATGATCCGCGCTGTCTGTTAGCCACCGGTAATTCTCTGCGAGACGCACAGCATGCCATTTCTGACTACTGCTACGCCCTTCGGCGACGACTGGACAACCCGCACAGGCTTGGTATCGATCCTAGGACAACGCTGGCTCGTTTACTTTGTGCTGCCATGTCTGTGCCCCTTGGGCGCAGAAAGCCCATGTAAATGGATACCATACAGACGCTGGGAAACTTTAGATTTTGATGACATGTTTTCAAGGGAGTATCCCGCCTTTGGTGCATATTTCAAAAGGATGCTCCTATGAAACATCACGACTAGATGCGTTTAATAATAGCACTGGCTAATGCCACTGCAGCGCCGTCATGACGTAGTAAGGATATCAATTTTAATAGTTTTGAGTCCAAATGAATCATGTGGTACTCCCACTCCGAAAGTTAAAGTATGCCTCGAGAATAGCCACTGTGGTTAACACCATAGGGCAGAAATCAAAGCCCTATTATAGCGTTTTCGTTGAATTGGTGAAATAAAGCTTCACTTTATGTGCATTACAGTTGCATATTTTTATATCGTTAATGCAAGTTTTGTTTTACACAAGGGCAAATGTACATTTAATCAGCAGTTTCTTGTGCGTTTATTTGATCACTTGGATTTGATCCCTCGTTGCTTTCGGTAAGTCATAACTAAACTCTCATATAGTCATATATATCACTTTAAGCTAGTCAACGTTTCAAGGGCATTCGTTCCTCATTCTCAAAGCAATGTAAGACGGTCAGACGGAAAACATTCGAATGTGGCAAAATACGAGGCATGCCCTACGAGACATGATCGTTGGTGAACCATCAGTTAACAGATTATGCATCCGAATATTTAGTCAAATTACAAAACACGTTGGAAAAGGCAAGGCATTTTAAATGTATTACCTTCATTGTGGTATTCAGGGAGTCCAAAGAAATGTCTCCCACAGGAGCGTCTACGTCAAATTGAGATGAATTCTGCTTTTTTTAATAATTTTCTTTAGAAAGCTGCCATTACTGGCAAAATCGTGCGTGTCTGATCCAGCAATAAGTAAAAGAATAAAGGAGCTAAAATACTCCGTTAAATCTTTAAATATTTCTCCGCCACTCGACTCGTGCGTGGTGCTGGCACCCGCAGCACGTGAGCTCAGGACAAATTGTACAGACCGTTGCAGTTTTGTGGCTCAAATTTTTTTAACCTAGTGCATTTGGTCATCGAGATACATGTATTTGTGTTTTAGGTTGAAGACCAACCAGGTCATGGGGTCAAGCTTTTGGGAACTAGCGAATGCAACTCATTGCAACACTTTGAACAAAACAATATTGAGGCATACAGCGCATGCGAAGCAACAGCCCGTGGCCAAAACCAAAAGAACCGAAAAAAATACAATACGCATTTGTGTGGTCCTGGGGCTGAAAAGTTTACCTCATGACTTCATGACCTTTGCATGTGCGATTTCGTGATCTTTTTAGGTCCGATGTTAAACGAAGTCACCCCACTTGTCTGTCTTAACCTAACGTTTCTATCTTAGCGTAACATTTCCGTCTAAACTTAAGGTTTTTGTCTAAACCTAAGGTTTCTGTCTAACAAAACGTTTATGTCTGCATGGAAGTGTGGCACATTTGTGTGGGGTTATGAACTGAAATAGTCAGTTTGAAGACCTTTCGGTGCCGTTCGCTATCCTGCCTTCTGAAGGCCTAAGCCCCTGTCAGTTTCTAAGCGACACGCCCGCGAAAATAGGGAAAGTTATATGGCGAAAGTATTTCGAAGTCACTGTGGCACTCATTACGTCATAATTGCGTCATCCAAATCCTGACATTCCATAAGTCAGGCAGCGATCAGGGCTTAAAAAATACATTGCCTGGGCGTTCACATCTGAAGCTCGTGAACTCGATTCCCAGACATAACAGCCGTCGAATGGCTCTCAATCGATGTTGCGCAATCACGATGATGTAATCCAACCATGAGGCATTGACAAGCACATTTACCAAACAGAGAATTGAGCTGTCCAGAGCATTCTTTTGACTTAAAAAATTATACTTACAGTTATAAGTGAGCTTTTCCATCATATCTGATGCTTGCGCCAATATCCTCAAATGTGAAACATTTGCTTTAACTTAACGGCAGCAAGTCTGTAATGTAGGCTAGCACCTCCGATTATCAAATTATGTTTTTGGGAGAGGGAACAGGTCGGTGACCTTTGCTTTGCATGACCTCATGACCTTTATGACCTTGTGAAAGCAGTTCTTCCACCGTATCATGCCTGGTGAGCATATCCAACATTGCCAATATATATATATATATATATATATATATATATATATATATATATATATATATAGTTGGGTCGATATTTCGGCAACGTGCCGATATCGAAACAATAGCAGAAGTCACTTCTGCTATTGTCTCGATAAAGGCATATTGCCGAAATATCAACCCAACTATATCTTCATTCCGCCTGGTTTTTATCCGAGGAATGGGGCTAATAATATTGTGTTATCTATGTGAATAATGTTCCTCGCCAAGGCACTGAACAACTTACGGAAGTTGTGACCTGTAGTCTGTGACATGGAAGACCCGGCTTCATCTAGAATTCAGGCAACACCAAACCAATGCACTTCGCTTCCTTGCTGCGGGGCAATTGGTCGACAAAATTATATAGCTTATGGTGCGTAAATTTTCACATACAGATGAGCTGTCATTCGACTGGCTTATTAATCATGGCGCCCAAGTGTAAACTACTCGCAGGTTTCCGTTGCCAAA